AATATATGAATATTTAAACATATATTTAATAAAATAAGTATATTTATAAATATACAAATATTTATAAATATACTATAAATAAATACATATAAATATATAAATATATAAATACATATAAATATATAAATATATAGATGGACAGTATATATATAATTATATACATAATATCATTTCAAGTAAGACAACATTTTCTAAGGTTAAAAAATTTTAACTGCTTGGCAAGCTGGGTTTGATGGCACACATCTGTAATCTCAGCACTTAGGAGGCTGAGACAGGAGGATCGCTGTGACTTTGAGGTCAACCTGGGCTATAGAGTGAGAGACCCCATTTCAAAATAAAAAAATAAATATTTTAACTATTGGATACTATCATTTTGGATAAGAACATTGAGTCCTCATGATTTATAGTATTGTAAGATTTTTGTAAATTCAAAAGCCTTTTGAAAGACACCTGTCCTATAATTTAAACACAAGTTTATATTTTATAATCTTAAGTTTATTCCAACCATGATACTTTTCTTGTCCCATAAAAAGCAATAGAGGCACAAAACAAAGCAAGAGCAATGGTTTTTTACAAATATGAAATTATCCTGGTAAATGATCACTTTCCCTTTGTTGGAGACGAGAGAAAGTTTAGATGCAGGAAACTCTTCTTATATACAGAGGCACAAAATCATAGGTCACTGCCACTTGTTTCAACAAGAACTCAGACCTGCATCACTTTATCAAGCCAAACATTAAAAGCCAGTGCTGATTAATCACCATGGAATGACAAGGGAAGGGAAACTTATCTTTTCTCTTTTTGTCATAGGCACTTTGCAAACAAATGCTCTTGGTCCTGTCAAAGTTCTTCATGTGGCCACTATAACTGATTTATCCTTAGTGAAGTTATGCCAGGAGGGAGCACGGTCTAATTAGCAGACAAGCTTGCCAACAACTGCTTGCACGTTGGTTACAGGGAAAACACTACTTGTGTGCTGATCCTGACCCCAAGGTTTAGTGGCCTCTACTGCTGATGTTGGAAGTCAACAGCCCTGTTTCCTGGAATATGTGTGGAGGTCTTCTTCCAAAACCAATTTCTCCTGCCCATAGAAGACCGGGTAACACGCTCACAGGGAAACCTAAGTCAGGAGATGGTGTTAAAAGTCAAATTTTAACAGGAGACACCAAAGTCTGATGGGAAAACAAGAATTCTGTTTTAGTGAAACAGTTACTGAAACTGACCTTGAAGGGCCAAGGTGACAAGCAGGGTCTCAAGTCATTGCATGTTGCTGTGCACCTATAATCCCAGCACTCTGGGAGGCAGAGGCAGAGGGACTGCAAGTTGGAGCTCAGTCTGGGCAACTTGTAACTTAGTGAGACATTGTCTCAAAATAAAAAGTGAAAAAGGGTTAGGGCTGGTTGGGGATGTAGCTCAGTGTGAAGGTCCTGGGTTCAATTCCCCAGTACCACCACACACACACACACACACACACACACACACACACACACACACACAAGTCTCAGAGATGCACATTACTACTGAGTTAAAGAGGCCCACCCATGGCACCCAGGGGAAATGTTAAATCTCCTACCTAATCAGCCTCAGGCCACCAGGAGCAATTTTAGTATGACAAAGTCAGGCTTACCGGCTCACTGCAGTGATGAAAGTCTACACTGCAGAGGAACCACGTAGGTGTGTCACAAAGAAAGGGAAGGGTTAGGACACAACACAATTTGAGGGAAGTATGCATTCAGGCCAAATGGCATTTTGATACTTTGAAGAAAAGCAGAGCTGTGGATCTGAGGGTGATATCAACCCAGTGGCAAAGCAGTGATGAAATCTTGTCTTTTAAGAAGCTACAAATTAGGACATGTATCGTTCTGTCCAAAAACCTCTCATCAGAATCTGCACCGGGGTGGAAACCAAGGCTGATTTCCTGTGTTAAAGTGAATTAGATCTCGCAGCCAGGAGTGGGCTGTTTTGTTCTTACTGAAAAGCTTTAAAAACCAAGCTCCTCATAAAACACGATTTTAGAAAACAAGATTTCTCAGCACTGTATCCCGCCACAAAGTGTCAGCAGGAAGTGGGACAGATGTGGTGTTTTCTTGGGCGAAATACGCTGTCTGGCTACCTCTGCAGTGGGCTTCAGTGGCATCTACCTACCCAGCCTGATGGCAGGTTTTCATTTCTTAGGCGGCCAAATCAATTTCCACTCTCTTCACCTGTAACCCAGCAGCCTGCTTGTGGATCTTGCCAGAGAGGAGCTGGCGGGACCTTTCCTGGAAGTAATTCATCTCTTCCCTTCTTTCTTGTTTCCCTCTTCTTGGCATGAGCTGTGCAATTTTAGGACTGCAGTGCAGCCTGGGCTTGTTCCTGAAGGAGGAAGACCTAAGGAACAGAATGTGGAGGAAGGGCTCGGGGTGGGGGATGAAAGGAGTGCTGTGAAGTCTAAGCTGTGGGAGCAGGGGAAGGGACAGCATGCCTCGGGGGTCCCTACCATTGCCAGACCCTCTCGTTCTTACTTGGTTCCTGGCTGGAACTTACAGCCCCTTGGCAAGCTCCTTGCTTTATGCAGCTTTGGTAACTGGGTCAAGATCCATGTAGGCAGGCTTGTGAAAGCATGACAGGCAGTTGACTTTCTGCTTTGAGACGTACAGGGAAATGCTTCTGAATCCTTTTTTGGCTTCCCAGCTCTTGATTCTGCCTTGATTCTGACTCCCACAACTCCTGTGTCCTAGCCCTTCCTACCTCTGGCTTGTTGTTGGCCTCTCTGCCTCAGACCCTGCAGGGTCACATCTCCCTCCCTTGTGTCTGGCTCTGGTCTTCACAGTCTGTTTTCTTCTCGCTGTGCCTTGCCCGTCACAAAAGGTCCCAGTCCCTCCTCGCTTCATTCACCTCAATCCTTGGACCCATCCCTGTCACCAGAGACTCTGCCCTTGGCTCCCACCTCTTCACTCTTCTTTTCCCATTCCCTGGGTGGTTTCTTCTCCTTTGCTGTGGCAGCCTTGCTTGCCCACATCGCTCCTACTCTTTCATCCCTACCACCGGCTTTCTCATGTTTCAACCAAAGAATGGAAGTTCCTGCTGCCTCCACTCAGTCCCTTGTTCAGTCCCGGCCTTGGACATTTGATCCCTTTTGCTTCTAGAAACCAAAATATTTATGGACCATCGTCTCCTTTCACTGCTGACCCTTTCGCCTCTTCCCTAGAACTTGCTCAGTTACTAGATCTTCCTTCCAGTGATATTCCATCTATCAAACACTCCTACCCTTTGTTAGGACCTTAAACTCATCTCTTGACTGTATCTCATCCACTCCCTGGGTCCTGTTGGTTCAGTTCATCTGTCTGTCACTCCTTACCATTAAGCATCTCTACCCCACCATTGCCAGTCTGTCCTAGGGGACTCATCTTCAGAAAACCCCTGCTTTGACTGGCTTCTACTGATACAATCTCAGGTACCGACTACTTAAAAAATTTGTCTACTGTATCCTGCTCCAGGTGGCAGTGTCTGCTAAGGACAATCTCTCCCTGTCTTCTCATATTGTGATTCCATTTGGAGCTCCCCTCCCTCCTCTGTCCTTTGTGTTCTGTCTCTGGAAAGACCCTAAAGTGGACCAAACACGTGAAAACATGTACATACCTGCTTTTTTCTTAGCTCTGCTGTCTGGAGGCTCACAGCCCAGGTAGAAAGTGGAGTGTAGATTTCCAAATGTGGGAGGAGAAGGTAGAGAAGAAGGCAACTCAGATATGCTCTCAATTCTGTGACTACTCACTTAGCATTTCTTGCTGTTGAACGTGGCCCCCAGCCCTCTAACCTTTCTGGAGATGCAAAGGTCAACTTTTGTATAAACTGCATGTAGTCCTTAGGAGTTTCTTCCTCCTCCTCCTCCTCCTCCTCCTCCTCCTCC